AATCAATGATTTGCCAGAAGAAATTTGGCAACGCCTGAGGGCTCATACTGCGTTTTTCCTTAGCACAGCATAATATAGGTCGAGAGTAACAAACAAAAATCTTAAATTAAGATTTGTTTACTCTCAATGTTAATATTCATGACTAAAAGGGGACTCACGACAAGGTAAAATGGTACACTTCAGATGGGCATTATTATCGTTTGTCCTCAGATCTGAATTGCTGCACCTCATTCCAAGAGATACTAAACACCAAGGTTTATTCGCTCGAGACCAAATTGACAAAGTACGGAAGAGGTTCCCTAACTTTGATTGCAACAACTGCAAAAATCTTGGAAGCGGAGGTAAGTACGATGTCTACGTATTCAGTTTCAAGTGACTCAGAATTTTTATTCGTGATATCGTTAGAAGAGCTCGTTTTTATGTAAAATTAAACCACAATTAAATTGTGTACAAAAAATAGACAATCAAACAACACTGCCGTGCTAAGAAAGAACGCCGTATGAACCTTCAAACGTTACCAAATTATCTTTAATAAAATGTTTATTTTCAGGGAATTCTGTGAGCATTTTTCTTTAAATTTTTTAGAGATTCTTATTCGCGACCAGATCTAAATCAACTGAGAATTTCAAAAGGAAATGTTCATAACTTTCCTCAAAAATAAATATTTTATCGGAAGAAATCTAGCAATTCTCGAATGTTCATATAGCGTTCTTCCTTAGCACGGCAGAATAGACCGATGAACCCGGGAAAATGTAGCTATACGAGGCAATCCGCGCGAAAAATTTCGCGCACTTTCATGTCAGTTTTAAAGAGTGCAGAGAGGAAAATGAAAATTTTGGAGGGAAAAGGACGAGAAGAGAAAAAGACGGAGGAGGAGGGAGAAGAGTAAGGAGATGAAGCTGATGGAGTAAAGCAGCATTTGGACTTTTTTCTAAAAAAAATTTAGCAGCCTAAGGAAAGCATCCTATCCTTGAATATTACTGTGCCATTAGTCTGGTTATGTACATTTTGACTCCAACAGCTTTCGGCTTTTTGGAAAAATTCAAAACCATGACTTTTTACTGAAATTAACTCCCAAGCTCGAAAAAGCTCTCAAATTGAGGCCAAAATGGGCGGGGATATCCCACGCTATCCTGATAGTCCACGTCTACATCAAGACAAACTCTCCATGCAAAGGTTGGGAGCAAATACATTAGCAAGGTTGCCGTGTTTTCAGTTTTAGAGTTCCCAAATAAAGTGGTAGCCCAGTCAATGCATTTGCTCCCTATCTTTACATAGAGAGTTTGTCTTGATGTAGAGGTGGACTCCCATGATAGCGTGGGATATTCCCGGTCATTTTGGCCTCAACTTGAGAGCTTTTGTTGAGCTTGGGAGTTGATATCTGAGAAAACCAGTAGAACCACCGTGTTTCTCGCGAACTTTTACACAAGAATCAACAGTCAAATCGCAAATTCCTCACACATGCAACATTTCCATTCGGGCTGCACGCGCAATGCGTGAGGTATCCATGCAGTCTTGTAGGCGCTGATACGCGTCCCACGCTGGCCGTGCACGACGCGCAATGCGTGAAGTATCTATGCAGTCTTGTAGGCGTTAATACGCGTATCGCGCTGACCGCACTGGGTTTGGCTCCATTTTGGTCTCAACTTGAGAGCTTTTTTTGAGCTTGGGAGATGATTTCAGAGAAAACCAGTGGCACCATCGTGTTTCTCGCGAACTTTAACACAAGAATCAACAGTCAAATCGCAAATTCCTCACACATGCAACATCTCCATTCGGCCCCTGACATATCGACGGTGTAAGTCGGCAATCACACAACTCGTTTGCAGTGTCTGAAAATCTCCGCCTCTATATTATTTTTTTAAAAGAGAACAAATTGACATCATTCTTTGAAATTGATGTAGAATTTTCTTCGCACAGAGAAGGAAAATCACGGCAGTTTTAAAGAATTGCCGTTCAGTAGTTTTCCGCTCAAAAAATAAAGTATGACAGCAAGTCTGCGACGTCGCAAATCGAGTTCTGTGATTGCTGACTTACACCGTCGATATGCAATAAGAACTCCATTTCACCCATGGTTTGGTGAAAATCGCATCTTTTTACGCTTGCAGGCTACGACGCGCATGAGGTCGAAGAAAAAGCGACACAGTGGGTCAACAGAGTCACCTTCTACGACGAGGACTCCTGCTCCGGCTATCACTGGATTGTCTGGTGGATAACGAGCACGATCCCAAAGCCGGTGCGCTTCGTGCCCGGTTTCAACAGAAAACTCCACAGGGACTGTCGCTTGAACACAATACAAAGGGACCCTCATCCCTTGGTCACCGACGTGTTGCTGCTGCCTAGTATGGAGGATGCTGCGGCCTATGCGCGCGAGTTCAAGGACCATGCTGTATGGCCTGTTGAACTGGATAGTTCAAGCGGTGAATCGTTGTAGTATTTGTTGGATTGGAGAAAGAAAGATCACATGAAAGATCCCATAAAATTGAAAATAATTTACATTTTAATAGTAGTAGGTAGTTTTCTTTTGTTTTTTTTTCTAAAAAAATATGTGGTTATATCTTGAATTTTGATACTGTTAGCTTGCCGGTTCCATAACCCGGTTTCAACAAGAAACTTCGCAGGGACTGTCGCTTGAACACAATACAAAGGGACCCTCATCCCTTGGTCACCGACGTGTTGCTGCTGCCTAGTATGGAGGATGCTGCGGCCTATGCGCGCGAGTTCAAGGACCATGCTGTATGGCCTGTTGAACTGGATAGTTCAAGCGGTGAATCGTTGTAGTATTTGTTGGATTGGAGAAAGAAAGATCACATGAAAGATCCCATAAAATTGGAAATAATTTACATTTTAATAGTAGTAGGTAGTTTTCTTTTGTTTTTTTTTTCTAAAAAAATATGTGGTTATATCTTGAATTTTGATACTGTTAGCTTGCCGGTTCCATAACCCGGTTTCAACAAGAAACTTCGCAGGGACTGTCGCTTGAACATGATACAAAGGGACCCTCATCCCCTGGTGACCGACGTGTTGCTGCTGCCTAGTATGGAGGATGCTGCGGCCTATGCGCGCGAGTTCAAGGACCATGCTGTATGGCCTGTTGAGCTGGATAGTTTAAGCGGTGAATCATTGTAGTATTTGTTGGATTGGGGAAAGAAAGATCACATGAAAGATCCCATAAAATTGGAAATAATTTACATTTTAATAGTAGTAGGTAGTTTTCTTTTGTTTTTTTTTCTAAAAAAATATATGGTTATATCTTGAATTTTGATACTGTTAGCTTGCTGGTTCCATAACTCATACATTGTAGAGTTTTCAAAAAGTTTAGTTGTGTTTCAAGTGTCCGGTATGTTTGCTACTTGATAAATTTTGTGTGTTTGCTGTGTAGACTGTGTTCGGTAAGAATGGTGTGTATGGGTTTGATGTTATTCATGAATTTGTTACGTCAATTGAGTAAAGCGTATATGTTTTGATCGGGATGTTTGACATGCCTCCTAAGTTCAGCATGTTTGACGTGTTTAGTTCATGTAATATGTTCGAATTATTTTATGTGTTTGGTCTGTTTGATACATTTAGTATGTTTAATGTGATGTTGTTCATGAAACAGCAAATTTTACGTTAGCACGTTTTCTTTTCGTTCATGTTTTAGGTGAAATTCTGTGTCTTAAACAGAAGGTTCCCTGTGCAGTTTCCCTTTATTATTTTTTGTCAATTTTGATTGCATTCCATGAAAAATTATCCGTTGCTTCATTTTGTCTATTTTCTTTGTATGATAATCTTAAGTAATAATTAATTTCGAGCTTTTGCCAGTTTTTATGCTAAAAATTAAAATTAAATAAATGAAAATGAGCATATATACAAGCATTTTAATCATATCTACAGCGTAGCAAAATTTAGTCATAATCAGAAGAAAAGTGTGATCCAGCAACTATTTTCAGCTCACAAGGGATCAAATTTAATATATTAATGCCCTATGAAATGAAATAAATGAAATTATACGTCAATAACTGTAAAAAAATCGAAGCGTGAACCCAGAACTCAAGTGAAAAAGAAAGAAAACTCCTTGACGCATTTAAAAAAAAATATACACGTTTGTACCAAGTATTTTTAAAACAAGGTAATTGTCCGTTCATAATAAGACTGCTATGAGATATAGAGTCAAAACGGGTAGACAGATACACTGAAAATACGGCGCAAAAAATGGGCACATTTAATACTCACAATTGGTATTTTCTTTTCCTAGAATATCAACGGTAAGTAGGCACATAGAGAAACGGATTCTCCTTGAGCCTTCAATTGACGAAACTGCTTTTTATCCCACATATTACGCACGTGGCATAACCTCCGAAATGAAGGAGAATTATGATGCGGTTTGAAAGACTCGCTCCTGCCCGCTGACTCTTGAAATGAAACTTATTCTTAATCGCATATCATAGGTAATGAAACTCCCGTTGTTTTCATTAATACATTTTTCGAAGTCGAATGCATTATTTTCTTGTTCCTTTTTCGTGATATATGTTTTAAGAAAGCAGGCATAGCGCATACCCACTTCGAACTAGTTTGTTGATTTCTACAAGTGGCGTGGCGTGCTTTGCGATTTATCGATTGTTATGCCATTTAAACCTATTGGAAAGGATCGATAAACAGGGTGTTCGCAGCGAACACCTTAATAATCGATTCTTTACCATAGGTTTAAATGGCAGAACAATCGATACATCGCAATTCACGCCACGGCACTGTTTTCTAAAGTACAAAAAGCGGCAGAACTGAGTATTTTTAAAGGTGTTCCTTATTTTTAGTGATCCATGTGCTAACTATTAAGTCATGGCCTTGATAAGACTATATCTCTCCGCTCACTAGCCTCCGAAACCTATATCATGTCTGAATTCAAAGTTAGAAAACAATAAATGAAGCGACTTTCTGGTAGTCTTTGGAATGGATGAACACTGGCTGTTTAAACTGTTCGATTTGTCATACGTCGATTTTTAAGAAATAGCAAACATGCGAGCTTTCAAAATCACTATAATTTTACTATGATGAATAATTAAAAAATATTCCTCACACTTCTTTATTTCGAATGCATTTTTTAACAAAACACGTGTCTTACAAAATCCGTATAGCCAACTGATGGTGAATAGATGAAATAAGATTTAGATTCGAATATCTTACAGTTATAAATATTGTAATTACTTTAACATGGGGAGATTATTTTCATGCACGGTTCTCATTCGTGGGTGGAAGAAAATTTCTTGAAATTCCAGAATTATTTGCGTACTTTTCATTTTGAAATATATTTGTTCTGCTCGAGAAAATTTAATCAGATTCTGGGTTTAACGTCCACGGCAAGAGCAAATGAATTTGTAACATTGCGTGGATGAAATCGTCCATTCGTTCACACCAATAATAATTTGATGAACTTTTTCAGTTGTGGCATCCTGAGAGCCATGTATAAAGAATTGCACTCTCTTCTATAACTCTGAATACAAGAAAGCACACAAAAGGATAGCCCAAATATACAAATACAATAGAAAGAGACTAAAGCATGGGTAAGCAAGGCTAAACAATGTTATAAAGCACTGAAAAGGCAGATAACGTTTTAAGCCATTACCTGCTCATTTTCAGCTGCGAAAAACCAAAAAATAAATTAAAAATTGAGTGACAACCAGACTCCAGACGTTATCGCGTAACCACTATGGTTACGGGGCTACGTGATAACGTCTAATGTTTCGTCGTCACTCAATTTTTTTTTTATTTTTCGTTTTCGCAACCGGAAATGAGCTGGTATAACGGCTCTAAACGTTCTGCCTTTTTAATGTTTTAAAAAGATTATTAGCCTTGTTTACACCCAAAATTCAATCACTTTCTATTGGTCTGAATATACATATATTGGCTTTTTGTCTGAATCAAAGAATCGCATTATCAGGACAAAATGAAATGAAGTGAAAATGAGAAGTGCGCTTTGAAGGGATCACCACGAGTGAAGCTGAAGCTGTCTTGAAAGCGGCAAACAGGTGCAAAATAATTTTTTGAGCAACTGCCACATGATTTTCAAAATGAAAAGTTATACGCTCTTTTCGTCACGGACATTAAATTTTGACACCTTAAAGTGTCCTAAAGTGATGATTATTCAGGGTCAATTTTTTTTTAAAAAAACATAAAAATTTTAAAAGAGGGGCTCCCTCTATTCCCTCAAAGTTTCAATAAAATAATTAAACCTCCAAAAGAGCAACATAAAAAGAGCTTTTACCAGGGAAAAGCTAATGTCCGTGACGCTCTCTCTTTAAATACAGCTTTTTCAGAGGTTTGATTATTTTAATGATACTTTAAGGGGAAGGAGAGAACCCCTCTTCCAAAGGTTTAAGGATTTTTTAAAAAATTTCACTCCAAATTACCTTTGCGACCCTTTAAAGTTTCATAACGTATTGTCCGTGGGGAAAAAATGTCCTGTTCCAAAAGAGGGATTCTTGCGTGCGTGGTAACTAACACAGATATGATTCGTAGTCACATGCCGAGCATTTAAAATGGACGGAATGTAGAATGTCTTTGTTTTCCTCTTAGTAAAAGTTGATTTCAATTCTATCGTGGCAATCTACTCGTTGATATGAGGTCTCATGATGCAAGGATACATGTCACTTATCTAGATTTTTGCTAAAATTTAGATCCTTAATTAATTTACAGTCTAATTCCTCATTACTTTTGCTCAAATCTTCGCATGATGGTGTCTTAAAAACTGTGAAGGTAGAGTGGAGCTTCATATATGACTGCGTTTTGAGAGTTACGTTGTACTTGCAGTTGAAACGGAGACTGCCGATTTCATAGTATGTTTTCTGTAACAAAATTAAAATTCTGTCAATATATGTGAACATTCTAGAGAGAGTTTCGAGTGAGCACTGCATAACAATAACGAGAAGAAATCCTGCCAATTGATCACATTATCCTCCATCCAAAAGCAAGGCAGACAATAAGAGCTGTCGCAACATCCAGAAACACTATGGAAAAAAGTCTCTTGGATCCAGAGTTTAGACTCTTAAAAACTTTTACCAGAAAAAATAATCTTGATTCAATATGATTTTTGCTTAGATCGAGAATCAAGCTCCTTTATTTAAGCGTATCTTCTTTTGATTCCAGCAAAAATCCGATTAAATCAAGAGTATGTTTTCTCGTCAAATTTTTAAGAGTCTGGACTCTAGATCCAAGAGACTTTTTCCAGTGATTCGTCCTGAAAAAAAGAGCTTTTAAAGTAAATTCAAGCGAAAAACGCATTCCTGAGCCCTCAGAAGCTCAGAGCTACTATTTTTATTGAAAGAGAGGCCTAAATTCGAAATTATGTAAACATTTTCTCATTGGCTTGAAACGTTTGACACTATATGAGACGACAATCCACGGTTTCAACCGCCTTGAATCCAATGCAATTGAACCGCACAGTATGATTTAGACCTTTACAAACAAAAAATTTCTTTTAAAACAACGACAAAATTATTCACTCCAAGCGACGATAATATTGCGAGCATGTTCAAGATGGAATTGGAACCTTATTTCAATAATCCTCTTTTTATCATTGAAACCTAAAAATTAAAGTAACAAATATGGGTGAAAAATACATGGTGGTCAATCCTTTTTATGACGACAAGAAACATATTGGCGCGATATTTGCGCGATTGCATCTTTATCGACTTTCGAAGTCTATCTCTCGGCTAAAAGATTGAACGATAATCGAAAAAATGCAGGAAAAAGCGAAAACTGCATTAAAAATAAAGTTTGCAACTACTGTCCCGTTGCTAAAAGCGGAGTCAAAGTAGCGTTTGTATCATTACTATGGAAAGAATAGTGCACTGCATCAATTTCTATTAAAAAATTCTACAGTGCGGAGAGTTCAACAGCTCTAGGCACTATGGTGAAAAAGAATAGTTCACTAGTGAAACCGGGCTGAAACCTCTAGCCACTACAGAAATGTTCAAAGTCTAATTGCCAGCCAGATAGAGAATCTACTAAAGATCCGTAGGATGGAAGGGTATTGTCAAGAGGTGTGTTAAGCTAGTTTGTTTTCACGTGTTGAAGAATAGGGCGGGGACCAGCGTCACAAAAAAATTACACGGGGAGAGGAGGGCCAAAAAATCCAAACATTTAGCGTTATCAATGATCAATACCATCAAGTCACAACACACTGAAAAAAAAATCTCGGTGTATTTACTAAGAAAAGGGTAAAATTACCAAGAATTCAGGGTTCTATTTGATCCCAGTTTTTTCTTGGTAAAATTACCATTAATGGAATTGGTAATTTTACCGAGAAATCTTGGTAAAATTATTGAACTTTCTCGGTAATTTTACTGGACCTTGGTAAAAACGCCAATATTTTTTATCGACTGTAGTAGAATTACCGAGATAAAGTGGCAAAGTTACCGGGACTTGATTACCAATAAAAGTAGTATTCTTATCTGAAAAAAACACTATAAATACACCTTTTTAAAGAAAAGCTTACCAGTCTGTCTTGGTAAAATTACCAATAATTGGTAAAAAAAGTGAAATGGTAAAGGTACCAACGGACCATGGTAAAAACGCCGAGAATTTTTTGTCATGGGAACGGAGTTCCCCATGATATTAGAATCGTTCCGTTGCTTTCGCTATGGGATTCCCTATACCTCTGCGACCTTGAGCGTTTCGCCCAGTCTCCGATTTTTGGTTGATTTTCCGATGTATCAAAAACCGTTGTATTTTTTAGCCAATCATGTCTCTACGTCAAGTTGTGTTGATTGCTAAAATTCGCTTTCAGCGAGTTTTTTTCCACCTTGAGATGTCGTGTCTGACTGGTAAATCTGCGCAGAACCACGAAGTTCCGTTTTTAGGCAAATTCTTTTTTTTGGGAGGTTCTGATTGGTTATTTTTCGCCATCAGTTTTCTGTTCGTTGGTGCAAAAGATCGCCTACCTCGGTGTTCTTGAGAAGCCGCCATTATCCCACCTCAAATTTGAAAAATAGAAGTAAAGAAATAATAACCATCGTACAAGGTGGAAAATTGTTCTGGAGGACTCGTTACGGATAAAGAAGTCAAAATCAGAGCTCGATTGATTGATTTAATTCATGGATACGCAAATATTGCCTTAGCTCAACTGCCGCGATCGGAATGCGTGCTGGCATGAACCTCGAGACGCATTAAAACAGTGCGAACCATGGCTCCTACAGCAAAACAGCAATGCGCTTCATATCATCCCAAAAGCAGTCAAGGTCTCTTGTGATAAGTCCCGCCCATTGCCCGAGTCTTTTGTATGCTATTTTTACTCTCGCCCACGTGGATCCATTATAGCCTAGTTGACTAAACCGCCTCGTATTTTTGATTCGGTGCGGGCACCCGGCGATCGGGAGTTCGATACCCGACGATGGGAACTACTTTTTAATGGTTGTATTGAATGTTTTAGACTAATCATCAAAAAATAATTAATAGTAGATGATAAATGTACGAACATTTTCTCGTGAGTTAATATGTTAAACAAAAATACTGGAATATACCTCCTTCATATAATCAGCCACATGTTCCCCCAAATTAATGACGTTATTTTCTTTTTTCAATAAAGTTAATTTGCATTCAACGTTCGTAAGTTAAGCAAAAAGTACCTATTGATACAAATAGAAAGACATGAAAATAGTATGTCTAACATTTCAGTTGTTTTTTTTTTTTTATTTATTTTTTGTTTTTTTGTTTTTTCAATAAAACAAATTGACTGGGACTAGAATCATCGTATCTCTGAAGACAAAAGCTAAGTTTTTTGATACAGAAATACTAATATATTCATCCTTTATATAATCAGGGAGATGTTGACCCAAATATTGATGTATATTTTCTCTGTTCGCCCAAATTAATGATGGTATTTTCTTTTTTCAATAAAATTAATTTACATTCCACGTTCTTAAAGCAATATTTTCTCCAAAATTCAGCAAAAAATAACAATTTATACCTACGCAAAAAGTAAATAAATAAATAAAGCAATGACATGAAAGTAGTATAGGTAGTACACATCTAACATTTCGGTTACATCTATTTGAATGAAAAAAATGGCAACTTAGGAAGCACATAGGTCACTTATCGACGGTGAAACTACCAAACCACGTATCTCGGTTTGCGACGTCGCAGACTTCCTGTCATACTTTATTTTTTAAATGAAAAGCTACTTAACGTCCAGTCTTGAAAATTTCCGTGATTTTTCCTCTTCGTGCGGAGAAAATTCTGTGAAAATTTCAAGGAATGATATTGATTTGGTCTACTTCAAAAAAATAAAATGTGAGCGGAGATTTTTAAACACCGCAAACGAGATACGTGGTTTGGTAGTTTCACCGTCGTTATGATGCGTATTCGGACATATGCGTAGAGTAAAAATATCATACTTTACGCCGAAAAAACGAAACTGAAAGTTAAATGCGTTAACTTCCAAAAACCATACATAATCCAACGAAAATAAATAATTGGTAAATAACAGCTTTCTTGTATGCAAAGAAAAAAAATTAAAAATGTTAAATAAGAGATGTCGACACAAAATTACATAGCCCATTTAATTCTGAAGATACTACAAACGAACTGTACCTTAAAATTTTCATATCCCAGAAGCAAAAGTTCCCATGACGAATATTGCTCTCGCTAGCGATTGCAAAAACCAACTTGTTTTTCAGTGCAAATGAATAAAAAATGATTAAGGACAAGTGTAAAAAATTGTAGCATAAAACCGCAAGTCAGAAGAACAAAAAATAAAGTCAACCCATCACATTTTTTACTCCTTTTTTTCATAGTCTGCCCTATTCATCAGAGGTTCATTTTTATGTAACTTCGGTGTTTTGCACGTGTCTCATTCATTTTTCCAGGAACATGTGGTTTGCAGTTCATAGTCGGCACTCGGTTCCTTCGTGTTCAGTTTCATTTTTTTGGTCACTGATAAGTACTCTTTGTAGCATCAAGACATGCCTGGATTGATCGATTTGCAGAAAAGTAATACGAGTCATGAATGAAAACGATGAAAAACGATCACAGCGTATCAGCTGTTTAATATTCATTTTTGCCGATAATAGACGTTTTTAATTCCAAAATGTTGATAGTTTGAATTAAATTTCTTGTCAATTTTTTTTCAAAAGAATATTTCTAGCTTTTTGACAGAAATTCTCATGAGTGCATCAAATTATCACAGTCATTTTTTTGAGAGTTTTTGATCTAAGTACACAACTGACGCTGAGAGACTTGCCCCTTTGACACCACGCTGATACCACATACCGGCGGTGAAACTACCAGACTACGTATCTCAGTTCGCGAAGTTGCAGACTTCCTGTCATATTTCAATTTTAAACAATAAAACTACTCAACGTCAATTCTTGAAAAATTCCGTGATTTTCCTTGTCCTCGCCATGAAAACTTTATGAAAATTTCAAGGAATGATATTGATATCGCGTTCTCCTTCAAAAAAAATAAAATGGGAGCGGAAATTCTTAAATACCGCAAATGTGTACGCGGTCCAGGAGGTTCACTGACGATGTTCAATGTCAATGACGATAGACAATCTTAGGATTTTTAGCTTACCGAAAAGAATCAAACTTCATAAAACACGATTCTGTGACCAGCGCAACTAACCCCATAAATTTTGCTGTTTTAAAAATGGTTTAATTCCTGTTTCCTACACTGAAAAAAAAATTCTCGGCGTTTTTACCACGGTCCGTTGGTACCTTTACCATCTCACTTTTTTACCAACTATTGGTAATTTTACAAAAACAGACTGGTAAGCTTACCTAAAAACCGGTATTTTTACTGTTTTTTTCAGGTAAGAATACCACTTTTATTGGTAATCAATTCCCGGTAACTTTGCCATTTTATCTCGGTAATTCTACCACTGTCGATAAAATATATTGGTGTTTTTACCAACGCCCAGTAAAATTACCGAGAAAGTTCAATAATTTTACCGAGATTTCTCGGTAAAATTACCAATTCCATAAATGGTAATTTTACCAAGAAAAAACTGGGATCAAATAGAGCCCTGAATTCTTAGTAATTTTACCCTTTTCTTGGTAAATACACCGAGATTTTTTTTTCAGTGTACTGAAATAAGCTCGCCTCGTTTTCCTTTGGTGTCTGCGCATTTTGCTCTACCCATCAATTTTGAATCAGTTCGCTGGCTGCGCAGATCAGTTTTACTCACATCGGTGGTTGCAGCGAAGGTAGACCTGGGTCCGAGGCCCACTTGCCGCCAGATGATCTCGAAGGTGAGGTTGCTCTGTTTGCGGGACCATGTCCATCGAACGTGCGCCCTGAGTTCGCCCTCTTTCCATCGGAATCGATTGCGGTCGACTTTCGGCTTGCTGAGGCTTTCTTCCAGACTCAACAACTTCTTCGGACTCAGCATCTCGCCCGTATCCGCGAACCACAGCAACTCATCATCTGCAAAAAAACGTGCGTTATTCGCAGGCTGATAATCAGAATTGATAGACAAAGCTGTAGACAAAAGAGATGAGGAGAAAGCGGTGAGATCCGATTGGCGGAAGCGGGTAGTTGCAACGCACGTAGAGGGTGAGTACTGCCGTGCTAAGTAAAAACGCCGAAAGAGCATTAGAATGTTGCAAAATTTCCTCTTCACTGGACAAAAAAAAAAAAACACATTGGATCTACAGTCCAGACTCTAAACATCGACAAGAAAGAGTACCCTTGATTCAATCAGAAACTAGCTTAAATCAAGAACCAAGCCTCTTAATTTAAGCGGATTTCGTTTTGATTCAAGCGAAAATCCGATTGAATCAAGAGTATTTTTTCTTGTCAATGTTCTCAAGAGTCTGCCCTCTAGATCCAATGTGTTTTTCTTCCAGTGTTGGCAAATATATATTTTTGAAAAAAGTTCGAATCTTTTTCCCTTGAAATCTCAGACTTTTTAGATCAAATTACGAACGATTTCCCGTAAAAAATTGGAAGAGAAATGTTCAACGAAATTTCCCGAAAATTCGTGATTTGTCGAAGGAAATTTGGCAACGTCTATGGCTCATACACGGCGTTTTTCCATAGCAAGGCGGAGTAATCTGCCGTGCTAAGGAAGAACGCCGTATGAACATTCGAGAGTAGCCAAATTTCCTTTGATAAACGTTTATTTTTGAGGAAAGTCATAAATATTTTTCCTTGAAATTTTCAGGAGCCTCGGATCAAAATACGAACAAAATTTTCTGAAAAATTGGAAGAAAAATATTCATAAGTTTACCAGGGAATCGGTGTTTTATCGAAGAAAATTTGGCGACGCCTGAAGGCGACGGCTCATGCTGCGTTCTTCCCTAGCATGGCAGTAATGGACTCCCAAACGACGACAAACGAGGGACCCTGCAGTTAGTCCATCAGTTTTCTCCTTAGTCCTTAGTCTATAACAAATATGCGTTTCAACTGCAAACAGGATCGCTCTTCATCTCTTTTGTCTTTCTTGTCAGTCCCTTTGTCTATCAATTTCAATAACTAGCGCGGTGTGGCTAGGAAAAGTTTTTTCGACCTCGCGCAGTAAAGCCAGTCTTTAGGAAAAATTGGATTTTAAATTATTGACTTAAACTACTGATTTCGATTTATTGTCACATTTAAAAATTTAAGAGATGCCACCCGAGGAACATATTACGAGAAACCCAATGATATCACTTTCAAACTTCTAGCTTTTGTAATAGTGAAGTTATAACCTTTTAAAGTTTCCAATTTTATTTAAAAACTCGAACGGTTCTCATCGTTGATAACTTTTGAATTTGACTTTTTAATTAACTTTTCAATCAACTTTTAAATTAAAACTTTTAATACCTATTGCCGGTAAAACATACTGTATGTCGCTAGAAAAAATTCAATTTGCAGATCCATTAAAATTCAATGTTACGACAAGCTTTCAAATGGGATATTTTCGATCAGTTTTTGAAGTCACTTAATTGAAATCGAGTTGACGCTCAGAATTGAAATCGAGTTGACGCTTAGAATTGAAATCGAGTTGACGCTCAGAATTGAAATCGAGTTGACGCTCAGAATTGAAATCCATTATGCACTATTTTGGGAGAAAAATCTAAATCAAATCTTGATTACTCTCATTTTAAAATTGAGAAGTACTGTTGCTCACCTGCCCCTCTTTCTATGAAAAATCTCAAGTCGCCAGTAAGGCCCGTCAACCGTTTCTCGCAGTACTTGGAATAGGCTTGCACTTGAACCATGAATTCTTTTGGAACAGTCAAATCTCTCAGGAAGAAAATATGTTGATCCTGTAACAAATTAAAAAAGCTCAATTTTACAAGATTCACTCACACTTGCGGGTAAAAACGCAATTCACAGCATTTTTCTTTCAAATTTTTATCAAATCTCGCAACAATGACGGGGCAAAGAATTTCCAAAGGAGATTCGACACAAACAAAGAAAATGGGTTGGATTCATTTTTTGTATTTAATACATCTCTAAGAAAAACTTACCATGTTTGTAAAATTCAGAAATTTTTTACGGATGTTTTGGTCCTCACTTAAGAACAGAAACCACTGTGTCATCTTCATCCTACCTGTGACTATACAATAATCTTGTATACTGCCGTGCTAAGGAAGAACGCCGTATGAACCTTTAGGCGTTGCCAAATTTCCTTAGGTAAATAACGAATTTTCGAAAAAATTTGTAAATATTTTTCTTCCAATTTATCAGATAATTTTGTTGGCAATTTTACCTGAAGTTCTGGAGAAATTTCTCGGAAAATTATTCATAACTCTCCTCAAAAATACATAATTTATCGAGGGAAATTGGCAACTCTCGAATGTTCATACGGCGTTTTTCCGTAGCACGGGAGCATAGCTCAAGTGCCTTATAAATATTGCAAGCTATTAGCAATCGCCGGAAAATCAAACAAGTTGGTTTTTGCAATCGCTAGCGATAGCAATATTCGTCATGGGAACTTTTGCTTCTGGGATATGAAAATGTTAAGGTACAGTTCGTTTGTAGTATCTTCAGAATTTAAGGGGCTATGTAATTTTGTGTCAACATCTCTTTTTTAACATTTTTAATTTTTTTTCTTTGCATACAAGAAAGCTGTTATTCACCAATTATTTATTTTCGTTGGATTATGTATGGTTTTCGGAAGTTAACGCATTTAACTTTCAGTTTCGTTTTTTCGGCGTAAAGTATGATATTTCTACTCTACGCATATGCCCGAATACGCATCATAAGTGACCTATGTGCTTCCTAAGTTGCCATTTTTTTCATTCAAATAGATGTAACTGAAATGTTAGATGTGTATACTAGGGTGAATTCAAATAAGGGTCAAATTCCAGGTTCAATTTCCTCCCAAAATTTTTTTGTGAATTTTTGGGCAAACCAACCTTTATTTTGACTCTCATTAGGTGTAGACTTAGGAAATATAGCTCGTTGAGCTTAATAGTTATGCTTAAACCCGAATTTCCACCGTCACGTGTATCACCTCCCAAAATTTGCTCTAATTTTGCCTGACTTCCCAAATTTTCATCTCAGAGGTGACATATAATACTTTTAATTGAAAATTGAACGCAATTGTCATAAAAGCATCGCGTCGAGCACTAAATTAAAGTATAATTGAAAACATGTAACCTTTTCATATCTTACAGAACCAAAAAAATTCATCCGTCATGAAAGATATCTGGAGCTTATTCTGCTTATCTTTTAGACAGTTCCGTCTGTTTATCCTACTGTTTTCCTTTAACACGAGAAGAAGCTTTTATTTCTTGGAATATTGCAATACAAAATTGATCAAAAACATCGAATTTTAAAACTTCAAGTGGGCGTGTACCCGCTGAAGTGGAGGTAAAGCCAGGAAAAGTTTGAGGAATTGCATTAACATATCAATTACACTGGTCAACGTTTTTTTTTTTTTTTGATTTTCCGAAGATTTGCCAACGGTTTCGGAGTAGATTTTTGGCGCTGATTCCGAAGATCACCTCCATTTACCTGTATCAGTGCGACTTATCCCGGGAAAGTTCGGAATTTTTCCGGAGAAATCGGAATTTTCCTTAAAAATCTAGCTTTTCCAGCAGAGTCAATCTTCCGGGAGAATCTGTGCACGATGGAAAAAACCTAGGAATTTTTCGATTACGTAGCCTAAGACACATAAGAAACCATGTATTGCACCCCTATTAAAATCTCCTTTCTTTTCCTAATGCCAAGGTTTTCCGGTCCAGTTTCATTAAAATCAATTAATTAGTTACTGAGATAGCATTTTAGGCAACGTCCGCCATCTTGGATTTTCGAATTTTGAAAATTCGACTAAGAATTCGAGTTTCCTATTCAAAAATACCCCCGGGTACCAAGTTTCGCGTAAATCGATTGATTAGGCGCTGAGATAGCATTTTAGGTCATGTCCGCCATCTTGGATTTTCGAATTCCAAAAATTCGACTAAAAATTCAAGTTTCCCATTGAAAAATACCCCCGCGTACCAAATTGCACTTAAATCGGTCGGAAAGAGCGCCTACAGGGCTTAAACAAAGAAGCCTCAGTTGATTAGGCGCTGCGATAGCATTTTAGGCAATGTCCGCCATATTGGATTTTCGAATTTTCAAAATTCGACTAAAAATTCAAGTTCCCCATTGAAAAATACCCCCAGTAACTAAGTTTCACTTAAATCGGTAGGAAAGAGCGCCTACAGGGCTTAAATAAGCAAGTCTCAGTTGTAACAGTTTTCCACTCTGTCCCACTGAACTGGGACATGGGACAGGATGGAAACATATGGGACAGGATGGAATAAGCTGTTTTTTAAGCTTATCTCTAACAATAAAGACAATTTTGGTGTTTTTTTCACGGAATATTTAGTAGCACGTCCTAGAGGATCGGAATAAGAGAAAAGTTTCCCTTACGCACACTTTGAAAGTATTTTACGAGCTGATATTAGTGTGTGTGTGTATGCTTGACGCCCTGTTAGTTATCGTGTATAGCATTCTGTTTGGCATCATTAATGGCGTTAATCTTGCACAAAAATTTGCGAATCTCAGAATTTTTGCCATCTACGACGTGTGAACTATTCTATCAAACCAAAAAAAGTCGTTTTTGGAAAAACCTCAACGTTACGGCAATCATTTAGAGCTTATCACATCGTTGCCATGTCTCTCCTGACTGTTGCTGACTGTTGCTCGGGACAATGATTCTAGCGCGTGAAAAATTTATTGATGGAGCAAAAAATAAATTGACATATTTTTTTCTCAAATTCAAAAGCATTACCTATCATCTCCGATAAAGTTTTTTTAAATAATCACTCTAGTTATGCTGCAACATCGATTTAAAGTCAAGAACCAGGCACGGGGGACACGCAAATTTGGGACAAATGTAGGCAATTTGCACATTCAAAGTTCTCCTAAATTTTTATTTCAGTCCAAATAAAGTGGGAAACAGCATGTAATAGTCAACAATAGTGTGGAAAATGAGAAAAACATTTGATCTGCCCATGTTTCTTAGATTATGACGATTAAAACAGCTGGGGACACCAGATTAGACGCTTATTTGAACCCACCCACTACCTATACTACTTTCATGTCATTGCTTTATTTATTCATTTATTTATTTACTTTTTGCGTAGGTATACATTGTTATTTTTTGCTGAATGTTGGAGAAAATATTGCTTTGAGAACGTGGAATGTAAATTAATTTTATTGAAAAAAGAAAATACCATCATTAATTTGGGCGAACAGAGAAAATATACATCAATATTTGGGTCAACATCTCCCTGATTATATAAAGAATGAATATATTAGTATTTCTGTATAAAAAAACTTAGCTTTTGTCTTTAGAGATACGATGATTCTAGCCCCAGTCAATTTGTTTTATTGAAGAAACAAAAATAAACAAAAAATAAATAAAAAAAAACAACTGAAATGTTAGACATACTATTTTCATGTCTTTCTATTTGTATCAATAGGTACTTTTTGCTTAACTTACGAACGTTGAATGCAAATTAACTTTATTGAAAAAAGAAAATAACGTCATTAATTTGGGGGAACATGTGGCTGATTATATGAAGGAGGTATATTCCAGTATTTTTGTTTAACATATTAATTCACGAGAAAATGTTCGTACATTTATCATCTAGTATTAATTATTTTTTGATGATTAGTCTAAAACATTCAATACAACCATTAAAAAGTAACACCCATCGTCGGGTATCGTACTCCCGATCGCCGGGTGCCCGCACCTAATCAAAAATATGAGGCAGTTTAGTCAACTAGGCTATAACGGATCGGAATATGATGGAGTAAAAATAGCCTACAAAAGACTCGGGCAATGGGCGGGGCTTATCACTAGAGACCTTGCGACGCTTTGTTGCTGAGAGAAATGAACCAAGCGCATTGCTGTAGGAGCCATGGTTCGCACTGTTTTCATGTCTCCCAGGGTTCATCTCAACATGCATATGTCATCGCGGCAGTAAGCTGAGGCGATATTAGTTTATCCATGAATTAAATCAATCAATCGAGCGCTGATTTTGACTTCTTTGTCCGTAACGAGTCCTCCAGAACAATTTTCCACCTTGTACGATGGTTATTATTTCTTTACTTCTATTTTTCAAATTTGAGGTGGGATAATGGCGGCTTCTCAAGAGCACCGAGGTAGGCGATCTTTTGCACCAACGAACAGAAAACTGATGGCGAAAAATAACTAATCAGAACCTCCCAAAAAAAAGAATTTGCCTAAAAACGGAACTTCGTGGTTCTGCGCAGATTTACCAGTCAGACACGACATCTCAGGGTGGAAAAAAACTCGCTGAAAGCGAATTTTAGCAATCAACACAACTTGACGTAGAGACATGATTGGCTAAAAAATACAACGGTTTTTGATACATCGGAAAATCAACCAAAAATCGGAGACTGGGCGAAACGCTCAAGGTCGCAGAGGTATAGGGAATCCCATAGCGAAAGCAACGGAACGATTCTAATATCATGGGGAACTCCGTTTCCATGACAACAGCAGGCGACGAATAAAAAGTCATGTCTCAAAATTGAATGAGCGTAACAAGAGGCCCGCGCATTTGCGGATTGCATACTCCCAAAATTGAAGGCATTCTACGTTTCCGCAAAAAAGAATGCCTCATTAACGGCTACGACTTCCCCACCGTCCCAGCCCCCACGGTCGTTTTATTTAAAGGCAGTTAAAATATTAAAATTGGACTAGAATTTTGCACACCGCCGCACAAACTCTGTATTTTAAAGGTATGACAATTAAGGGCATCCCTAAAGAAAAATTAGCAGACGCTGGAAATTTCCCAAGAAACAGCAACTTGCATGGCCGGATTTACCTTCTTGCCGTCCATGGGCCGCCTGTATTTTGCCGCCCTCTTCTCATTAATTTTGAACTTCCAATAAAAACCATCAAGTGAACGTGCCGGAGGGAGAAGGATGCATAAGACGCGTTCACTCGTGTTGGACACATTCTTTGCGTAAGCCCTATCAACACTACTAGCAAAAGTTCACGGAACTTCGCGCGAAAGTTCAGTTCCGTAAACCTATCTCTGTGGGGACAAGGCTTTTCATTTGTAAGAAATGAACTTAAGAAATTAAGAAAAAACAAACATAAATGTGCTTTAATAATTTCAACTTGCGCCGCCGTGCCACGCTGACCACACTGTGTTTGGCGCAATGCGTGAAGTATTCATGTAGTCTTGTAGGCACTGTGCGTTTCTCGCCGCGCCGACCGCTGTTGACCGTACTGTGTTTAACGCAATGCGTGAAGTATTCATGCAGTCTCGTAGGCGCTAATATGTGTTACATGCCAACCGCCAAGTCGTGGGCTTCTCCTTTTCATCTCAAGTCCTCGTCATCATTTCTCTTTGCGCCGCGCCGCTCCAGGCCAAATTACGTGTTTGGTTTCTCTCTGAACTCAACTAATTAAAGGTGCGCAGTCTTTTGTATCAAAGAAATACGACAAAACTAGAAATTAATGAACTCTCAGGAAATGAGAGATTTTGTCACCTTTTCTTTATTGTAATTTTTCTCTGAATCCGATTTTTTGTACCCGCATTTAAAAAAATGCAAAATTTGCCGCCCCCTAATTTTGCCGCCATGGGGCGCGGCCCATGTGGCCACCCCCTTAATCCAACCCTGGCAACTCGATTCATGTTTTTACACCGGGTGGGCAGTCTCCATGGATGGAACTATGAAATTTTCAAAAGGAAGAGCCCCATGACATCCAAAACTCCAGCCTTTTCCGGGCTTCTACAGCACCTCAGCGCGGCACCCCGGCTACTTCGGCCTTCACTTAAAGTGATTCGATGGACACCATATTTCGTGTCAGAACGGCATGCGATAAATCACATCAATTGATTCCATTTTTTCAGCTACTCGTCATTTTTCTCCAATTTTGAGATCGCAATTCTGTTGTCAGGACACTAAAGCACTCACTTACCAATTTTTACAAAGAAATTCAACGTAAGAAAGGCGTGGTTTTTTTAGAGTGAAAACATCGCATTCGAGTGCAGTTTCGATATCAGTATCGAATGCGATGTTTTCGCACTAAAAAAACCACGCCTTTCTTACGTTGAATTTCTTTGTAAAAATTGGTAAGTGAGTGTTTTAGTGTCCTGACAACCAAATTGCGATCTCAAAATTGGAGAAAAATGACGAGTAGCTGAAAAAATTGAACCAATTGATGCGATATATTGCATGCCGTTCTGACACAAAATATGGAGTCCATCGAATCACCTTAAACTGTCTGCTGCTTACCTTTGGCACGAAAAAGTCCCTGATGAATGACACATCCGCACTACGAGATTCCGAGCTAGACCCGAGCACGTGTCCTAAACTGATTCTGTATCTTGTGATCGGAAGACTAGAATTCGGAGCCTTCCATCTCAGCTCTGCCCACACAGATCCATTCACCATAGCTACCGAGTGAATCGTGATTCCAGTTGGTGCCTCTGGTCCCATGGGCTCTTCACAAAGAAAATAAAAGTTATCAATTACTTGGTAAATACGAGTAAAAATGCACTGCATGGGAGAGTAAAATGAATGAAAAACTTTGAGCTATCTATTTGTATGTTGCGCGTACTCATATTTCAGTTCATTACGTACTAGATTCTCTGAAGGCATTTTATGTGCGAAAGCAATTCGCCTTCAGCTGCGTCCGCAGCAATTGTGGTTACCAACGTGTTGTACGTGCTAATTTTAGCTCATTATATACTCAACTTTCTGAAAACGTTTTATGTGCGCAAGCAGGGCAACCTGTTGGAGAACAACAGAAAAGAAATTGAGTGGATTGCTCAATCCCTACTTCGTTCGTTAGTTAGTTAGTTCGTTCGTTCTTTCGTTTGTGTGCGCTATTTGCACATATAAAACGCCTTCAGAGAGTCGAGTATGTAATGAGCTAAAATTATTATGCACAACATGTTCGTAACAGGAATTGCTGCGGACGCAGCTTAAGGCGATTTGAAACCAACGGTGTGATACACCTTGAAAAACGCATTTTAGTTCTTAAATTAATATTGTTATTGTTACCAACAGAGTTGTATTTCATGGTCTTTTTAAGGGGGATTCTTGAAAGCTTTCCACGGTTGACTAAGTTTAAATGCAAAATAATGTGAATCGCGCTACAGATTTCTGGTCTTGGCGGGAAGTTTAGCCTAAACTTTCCGATAAGACTGAAGAGGTACCAACGCCACAATGGCCTTGAAGAAGAAGGAGAAGGAGAAGAAGAAGAAGAATAAGAGGAAGAAGAAAGTGGGACAAAAATGTACCCAGAGACAGTTCCCAGGAGATGAATTTATGGTACGTGTAGCGTTCCGAGTGCTCCAAAAATTTACTGTGGAGACTTTCACAACTTTCCTCTGACCAATATTCAGATTTACATCTACGAATGGGCCAGTTGCGCTGGTAACAGAATCGTGTTTTGTTGCTTGATTCTTTTAGATTAGCTAAAAATAATTAGATCCGTCCAAACGGCAACTTTCTACGTTGAATATCAACCGAGATATCGCCCTTTAAAAAGTCAGGTTTTTGACGTCATCATGACGTGCATAACATGGTATACCGCGGTGGATGACGTCATAAATCAACTTATTCAAGGCGCGATATCACGGTTAATATACAACGTAGAAAGTTGCCGTGTGAACAGATTTTCTTAGTTTTAGTTGATCTGCAAGAATAAAGCATCAAAACACGATTCTGTGACCAGCGCAACTGACCCATTGCAAACAACCGTATAATACACCTTGAAAAACATTTTAGCTCTTTAATGAATACTGTTGGTACATGGACTTTATGTCCGTTTCTTTACGTCCACAGACTTTTCGTCCACAATTTTTACGTCCACAGTTCTAAAGCCCACACTATTGTTAAGTCTATTACTTAAACGTCCACTATAAGTTAAGTCCACAAATGTGAAGTCCACTAAAATCAAATTCAAGCGTTATAGCCGCTTGTTTTGGTTTAATCTCAACGATGCGCAGTTTTAAAAATAATAATGAATTCACCGTACTGCCTAAATACTTTTCCTCAGTAATATAAGCTCTACTTGGTATTAGTAATACATAAAAACAAGCAAAAACGAATTACTCCAATGTGAGAGCGCCGAGTCAATAGGAGGGATCGGTCATCGCGCATCACGCGTCTTGTTTTCTCTGAATGCAGAGCTTTTCCGACCTCATTACAGAGTAAATTACCCTTTCCTCACGTAAGTTTTGTACAGGATTACATTTTTTTAAGATATTAGAGCGAAATAACAAGTTTTAAAAAGATTTTGACCCACTTTTTCATGACTATTGGAAATGGCGGATCCTTCGTAACTTATTTTTAGCTTATTTTTCATGTTTCTTTCGGCGAATGAGACGATGAGCTGCTTCTGTTATATTATATTGTGCTGTTGTGCTGCTTCTGTTATATTTTAGTCCATGTGTAAAATTATTTTGACAGTATCGAAATGAGAAAATTGAGAGAGAATAAGGTGTTGTTATCGTAACTCATATTTTAAATGAAATGTTAATTTCTTGTTTTGATTCATCTTTTCAAATTGTCTTTGGTAAATACTTGGTTTCATTTTTATCCTTGAAATTTCCGATACAAAAGATGCCTTAAATGTACATTCTTTTTTTTAAATGAAATTGATTACTTCATTTTAAATACATTTACATTTTTAATACGTGGTAAATATTTGTAAAACCTTTTCCAAGCAATGGCATCGGCATATGAATCTCAATTAGCCGTAGTTGTGATGAAAGAAACTATACAAAAATTAATAAAAGAGGAAAAAACTAAGAAGCACGAAATTTTTTGTTTTTAACTTATTTGTACATCGACCTTCTTAAATCAAGTACGTCCAATTTTGAGCGTTTCGTTGCGCTTACACCACGCTGCAGCACAGTAAAAGCCCAAAACATAAAATAATAGATTTGAATGCTTTGGAAATCATTAAATTTGACACGGAACTACTCTTATATTTACAAAAAACACATTATATTTTTCAGTTGTACATGTTTCTTTTTCATCAGTTTAAAAGAGAATAATCAATGCAGACAGTGCAAACATTTCAAAATCATGAGTTGAAAAACGCTAACTCCGCGAGTTTAAATATTAGAGCCTAACACAGAAAGGAGCTGCGTGTTAGCAGCGCAGAACGCGCACTGGCGCCTACAAACCTAACGGGATACTTCACGCATTGCGCAACGCGTGAAGTATCCCGTTAGGTTTGTAGGCGCCAGTGCGCGTGTCACGCTGGTTTCCTGCCGCGCCGCAACGCTTTAAGCAACTTTTTCGCGTCAGAGGCGTTGCACATTATCCTATAAGATTGAAGGCGCACGAAATAACAAGTTAAAGAGGCCTTTCAATTTTGACAGCATCTGTTACTGAAAAATGTTTAATTTGGCATTTGAGCGTTTCCTAGGCTCCTGCTTCGGTTTTCAGCTAGTATAGTATGCATTTATTTTTGAGGTGGTTCCTGTCATTTAAATGAGAAGAAAAAAATGTGGACATAACATGTCCACAGTTTGGACAATTTTGGACATATTCATGATTGGACATTAAATCGTGTGGACTTAATATAGACTGGACTTAACGTTTAGTGGACATAAATAGCGGTGGACATTTATTTAATGGACGAAAGGTAGGTGGACATTAAGTCCTGGAAGCATACTGGTACCATTACTGCCGTGCTAAGGAAAAACGCCGCATGAACCTCCAGGCGTTGCTAAATTTCCTTTGACAAAACGCGAATTTTCTGGTAAATTTATGAATATTTTTTCCCCCATTTTTCAGATGATTTAGTCCGCAATTTTACCCAAAGACTCTGAAAATTTAAAGGAAGAAATATTCACACCTCTCCCCAAAAATGAACATTTTATCGACGGAAATTTGGCAACTCTCGAATGTTCATACGGCGTTTTTCCTTAGCACGGCAGAGTAGAGAGTTGTATTTTATGGTCTTTTCACAGGGACCTCCTCCAGAAATCCATCTCCGTCTGAACTGCACTGAAAAAAATAATATGCTATTTTAGCACCTAGGATGTCAAAAATGTGTCTGGTGATCCCAAGATGCTGCCTTTACTGCCCTTGCAGTTAACATTACATCCTATGAATGCAAATTCAACTGCGTGTGCAATCAAGATAGCATGTTAGGATCACTAGACACATTTTTGATATCCATACATACATACATACATATAAGTCGCTTTACAGAACTCCCTCGCGCTCTACGACTTCTAACCTCCACTGCTCTCTTTCAAACCACAAATCTTGGGGCACTGAGCACCTTAACATCTCCGCTTCAATCCCTTCCCTCCAACCTTTCCTATTATTTTTATATTTTTTATTTTATTTTTGATATCCTAGGTGCTAAAACAGAGTACCATTTTTTTCAGTGTGGATCCAACTTACCGAAAGAGAGTTGGAAGTGGTTGGAAGGGAGGGAGTATCCCTTGGTGCCATTCTCGTTGACGGCGGCGACCCGTATCTGGTACCAGCGGCCGTAGGTCATGTCCCTCATGAGGTTGACCCTGGGTCGGATCTCCCTCCGGACGAGGGTCCACGGGCCGAGCTTCCGCTCGGAGAAGTTGCAGCCGGGGTGGTGCCGGGCCTCCACCAGGAACACCAGGCCTTTTTCCGACCCGCCCACGCTCCAGCTCCCGAAAGCGTCCAGCGTCTCGTGCGTCGCGTTCTTCTCCAACTTCTCCGTGATGGTCACGTTTTCCGGGATCCTTGGCAAATCTGAAAAACAAATTATTATGCGTCAAGAAATCTTACTCTACACACGGAGAAAAAAACCTCGTGCGTGCGGGACCCGAAGATTAGGTCATATGGATCTCTGAAGTTTTCGGATTGAGCATCTGAACACTTTAGGTCTAGCTATCGAGGTTCAGATCACACATCTGAAACTTCAGTCTTTACATCTGAAGTACTTCAGATGTAAGAACCGAAGTTTTTCGGATGTGAGAACCGAAGTTTTTCGGATGTGAAAACCGAAGTACTTCAGATGTAAGAACTGAAGTTTCAGATGTGTGATGCGAACCTCGACAGCTAGATCTAAAGTGTTCAGATGCTCAAGCCGAGAGATTCATAAGACCTAAACTTCGGTTTCCACGCACGAGGTTTCTTTCTCCGTGCGAAGTGTCCCAGGATTAACTACGAATATTGAAGGAGTCGATTCTATGGGTCAAAAAAAGACGTTTTTATGGTATAACTTTTTTTCCAAAATTCCAGTGTTGCCATTTCCCGGAATTAATTCCGAAATTCGGAGCTTTTTAAAAAATCGGAACTTTTCCCGGAATTTTTAGCTATTTTCGGAATTTCTTCGAAATTTGCAATTTTTCGCCCGTTTGACCATTTACTTGATCAGGGACTTCCTGATTACATTGGACGATCCTTGGAACTAAATCCGGCATTTTTCTCGGAACTTTGGCAAATCGGAATTATTTCGGAATCTTTTGATGAAACAAAATGGCAGTACTGCCAAAAACGCTTTCCCTGGGGTCCACCCCCCATCCCCTTCGCGAGCACCCGCTATCCATTCAGTCCCTATCATCTCGAAAACGATGAGTCATGGCAAAAAAATACAGGACACACTTTCGCAATATTTTTTAACGCTGAATCTAGTGGTGCCGTCAAAAATCAATTTTTGTTGATAGAAACATTAATTTTGGTATAACTTTTAGGTTTGATACCCCCTACCCCCCCCCCCATCCCTTAAAATGAGTTTCCTTTTTTTTTTGTTCATTAATATTGGTTAATAAACATCGTTACAGTGTCAAAAATACGATTTTTTCTCCAGCTTTGGTGAGCCGTGGCCCCCAAGGAAAGCGTTATTGGGAAAAAAAAGTTATACAACAAAAACGTCTTTTCTTGGCCCAAAGAATCTACTCCCTCGATATTTGCACTTAATCCTGGGACACCCTGTATATCATAAAATCAAAGCGTTACAAGCGAAACACTCGAGAACATAACGCTGGGGGCTGGGGGTGTCCGCTACCCCTTCTTATGCGTCATCCCTCTTTGCGCATTCGGCACCGCCTACTCAATGCACTCCCACTCTGCCGTGATAGCGAAGAGAGCAGTAAGTGTCAAATTTTCGAGATCGAGTTACCTTCGAAATTCGTCTGATCTCTTTTATATGAAATCACTGAAATAGCAAAAACAGCCACATTCAACTTAATGGACCACTAGACAAGCTACGAATTTCAGCATCCTGATACACGTTTCCCAATCAAAATTTCATGTGAAACACGATGCGCACAACGGAAATTACGGAAATCAACTCCTTGCGAAGATATTTAATGATTCTTGATGCGTGAATTCAAACCACCCGCTCATGAAAACTCAATGCTCTACGTGACTCACACCGCAGGCTAGACGTTATCATGACAATCTATGCGATATAAAAATCTGGCAACCTCGATTTTGACGCTTTGGCTCAGCTATAGCAAGTTGTTTATAGTTTGAAAGATACACGGTGGGAAATGAACATTGCTCGATTGAGAAGCTCGCTGAAACCGTTGTAGTGCGCGATTTGACTCACGTGGAGCTTTGAGTTTCTTGTGAGCGGGCAGTTCAAATTCCTCGTAACCAATGTGAAAAGGAAACGTTATTATCTTCGTTAGGAGTTAGTTTCAGTTATTTTCGTTGCGCGAATCGTGTTCTACGTGAAATTCTGTTTCAGAATCATGTATCAGAATGCTGAAATTCGTACCCTGTCTAGTGGTCCATTGTGTAAAAAAGAGACTCATGAGAAAGCGGTCAGTGCACAAAAAAATGACGTAGTTTCAGACAAAATAGCAGTAAGTGACATTATTTCTCCAGAGAGCAAATGATATCAGTGCTTTCAAGGAAAGTTCCGCCCTCTTCTGAGTTTACTTGGTCTGCGGACAATTTACAGTATTTCGAACCAATAACATTGCGACACCTTGCGGTTTGTGTTGCTTACAATTAGCTATGTTTTTTCATTTTTTTTTTTATTTCTACTTTTTTCCTCTCAATCATCCGATTTTGGCGACAAAACTTTTCCGTTCCGAGTCCGTGCGTCATTCGGTCGTAAAAAGCAAAAACCAGGAAATTCACTGAAACTAAAACCTTTCATCGCGATATATGCATGGGCTCCGATTTTGCAGAGTTGATCGGAGAGCTTTTACACAGTACACTCAGCACAGCAATCGCATATAGAGTACTTACAATGCTGCCGTGCTAAAGAAAAACGCCGTATGAACCTTCAGGCGTTGCCAAATTTCCTTTGACAAAACACGAATTTCCCGGTAAACTTGTGAATATTTCTCTCCCAATTTTTCCGCTAATTTTGCTCGCAATTCCACCGAAAAGTCCTAAAAATTTCAAGGGAAAATATTCATCACTTTCCTAAAAAATGAACATTTTATCCATGGAAATTTGGCAACTCTCGAATGTTTATACGGCGTTCTTCCTTAGCACGGCAGAATGAGCGTGATCCTATATTTGAACACTTCACGATCACTTTTTTTAATGGATAGGATACACTTTTTTACGACGCAGCCCGAGACAATGGTAACAGGGGAAAAAACACCGGGGGGGGGAGGAAGAGGGCTAAAATACAATAATAAAAACCCCGAGATAGGGATGAATAAGACCTTTCGACTTGGTTTTGAATCAATGCGTCTCGGGTTTTTCATTGATGTATTTTAGCCTGGTTTCCCATTTTCCCCCTTGTTTTCCTCCTATTTTTCATGAAGTCTGTAGATTCACATAGGGCCGGCGCAAGGTAATCCTTTCGGGAATTCGCACTTAGATACGTTGGAGTAAAATCAAATTTTTTGGTGAGCCTCCAGACTTGAAAAGTATTTTCATCACATAAATAACTCGCACTTCTAACAGTTGGGCCACGTTAAGCGGAGAGTAACCAAGCAACATCAGATATTATCACATTTAATGGAGGTGTTGCATGTGTGAGGGATTTGCGATTTGACTGTTGATTCTCATGTAAAAGTTTGCGAGGACCAAGATGGTGCCACTGGTTTTCTCTGAAATCATTGCCCAAGCTCAAAAAAAGCTCTCAAGGTGAGGCCAAAATGGAGGGGATATTCCACCCTACCCTGAGAGTCCACCTCTGCATCAAAACAAACTCTCCATGCAAAGATAGGGAGCGAACACATTGACAGGGCTGCCACTTTATTTGAGAACTCCAAAACTGAAAACACGGCAACCCTGCTGATGTATTTGCTCCCCTATCTTTGCATGGAGAGTTTGTTTTGATGTAGAGCTGGACTCTCATGGTAGGGTGGGATATCCCCTCCATTTTGGCCTCACTTTGAGAGCTTCTTTTGAGCTTGGGAGATAATTTCAGAGAAAACCAGTGGCACCGTCGTGTTTCTCGCGAACTTTTACGTAAGAATCCATGGTCAAATCGCAAATCCCTCGCACATGCAACATCTCCATTGAACGATTTAATTTTTTACTTCAAAATGTTTGCTAAATGTTGCACGCTATCCTGAGGGTCCACCTCTACATCAAGACAAACACTCCATGCAAAGATAGGGAGCAAATACATTAGCACGGTTGCCGTGTTTTCAGTTTTGGAGTTCTCAAATAAAGTGGCAGCCTTGTCAATGTGTTCGCTCCCTATCTTTGCATGGAGAGTTTGTTTTGATGTAGAGGTGGACTCTCAGGGTAGGATGGGATATCCCCTCCATTTTGGCCTCACTTTGAGAGCTTTTTTTGAGCTTGGGAGTTGATTTCAGAGAAAACCAGTGGCACCATCGTGTTTCTCGCGAACTTTTACAAAAGGATCCATGGTCAAATCGCAAATCCCTCGCACATGGAACATCTCCATTGAACGATTTAATTTTTTACTTCAAAATGTTTGTGCGATTTTTTTTTTGGCGCGTAATTTTTTTCCCCTAAGCATGGCAGTATTGAGGTGCAAAGAGACAACAGCGGAGGAATTCAAGGCTGATAGGCAACCACCCGAAGAGGGCTTTGCTCCCGGAGCTGGATGCACCAGAGACCGAAGACCAGCGGCCAGGGGCCCAGTTCGTCGCCTTCCTGACATAAGGGCGTAACCACACTCGACGATGAGCCCTGTTGTCCATATAACTCAGTGCTTTCTAGGGCTCTTCTCAAATTGTAGTTACGCCCTTTTGTCAGCCAAGCGACGAGTTCATTGCCGCAGTTGCAGCCTCTCTTAGGAGTGGACTGCCGAGCGCGCTGCCTTGCTGAGGAAAAACGCCCTACGAGCATTCAAACGTTGCCTAATTTCCTCTTAGAAAATATCAATTTTTGAAGAAAGTTATAGATATTTTTCCTCGAAATTTTCAGACCTTATAGATCAAAGTTCGAACGAGATCCTCTGAAAAATCGGAGGAAAAACATTCACAAATTTCCCAGGAAATTCGATGTTTTTGAAGGAAATTTGGCAACACCCGATAGCCTATACGGCGTTCTCCCTTAGGAGGGTAGACTGCTGCCGAGTGCGCTGCCGTGCGAAGGAAAAACGCCCTACAAGCATTCAAACGTTGCCAAATTTCCTCTTAGAAAATATCAATTTTCGAAGAAAGTTATGGATATTTTCCCCTGAAATTTTCAGACTTTCTAGATCAAATCGACGTATTTCTGCCAAACGGAACTATGTGCATTAAGACATGAGCCCTGAGACCCATAAGAATATATGCATAACAGGGCTCACGTCATAATGCACGTAGTTCCGTTTGATAGAAATACGTCCAAATTTCAAACGAGATCCTGTGAAAAATCGGAGGAAAAATATTCACAAATTTCAAACGAGATCCTGTGAAAAATCCGAGGAGAAATATTCACAAATTTTCCTGAAAATTCGATGTTTTTTGAAGGAAATTCGGCAACACGCGATGGCTTATACGGCGTTCTTCCTTAGGAGGGTAGCGGGGACGTCGCAGAATAATAACTAATAAGCGGAGGCCTCGGCCCTTGCACTTGGACTCCGGTTCTAATTTCTGTGAAATCTACGTACCTGGATTGCTAATTAGTCCGCGCGGGGATCGGCAGGAAGCGCCACACGAGTGCGGGCAGCATTTATCGGTGATTCCCGGACAGTCCATGTCCGAGCGGCAGGCCGCCACGCAGGCTTCCAGGAACACCGCGTCCGCGTCCACGTCCTCGCCGCTGCCCAGTGCCGCGGCCCTCGCGTCGCCGCAGTCGCCCGCTTTGGTCCAGCGCGTCTTCAGGCATTCCTCCGCGCACTGCAAGAAGACATGACGTCATATTTAGAGTCCCTTTATACTGAGAGTCAAGACAGTTCGGCTCATGGATGTCACAAACGGGAATAAAGATTACAGAAATTGAACGTTTTTCGTAATCTTTGATCGGCCCATTCTCAAATGCCTTTCTCCGTTCCTCCTCTCATTCCGTTTGTTCCTTGCCAAACCCGTAATTCCCTGGTCCATTCCAGATTATAATCTTTGCAATTGGTGAAAATGTAATCTTTATTCCCGTTTGTGACACTGTGGAGGCCTAAAATACGGGAACCAATCAGAAATGGATTCAAATTGTCTTGACTCTCAGTATAAAAGGACTCTAGTCGTGGTCAGCTAGAGTACTTGTATAGCGAGAGTATGGACAGATCGCTTCATGGAGGGCTTAGGGCCCAAAAGTGCAGCCACCCTTCTAACCAACTTCTAACGCACAAAATTTCACTGCCAGTCTGTAGATTCGAATTCTAACGAAGATGGCTAAGAAAGTACATAAATGAGCGTTCTTCCACAAGAATGAGTAAAATGCAAAAACTAAGTCAAATACGTGCTTTATAAACGATGGCTCGTAACAATTGTTGTTGTAGTAATAAATCGCTCTGAATAATTGAAATTCATAGGTTGGCTGCATTTCTGGGCCCTAACTTTATTCGGGGAGGCATCGGTGAAGGCCTGATGGATTTTCGGAGTTTTACATCTGTCTATACCTCGCTATACAGGTACTCCATAGTCAGCATGTGGAGCGCTTGTATCTGGCATGCAGAAAACAGGCCTCTTGCGAACTTTTGCGAGAGCTAAAATAAGAGTTGTTCCTCATTCTGCCCCGCTAATGCCGCAATCACACGCTGAATTCAGCAGCTGATTGTGGAAGTCAACAGTCATCGCCAAACGGCTGAAATTTAGCAAATTCGAGTTATTTACATTCAGATGTGTATCAAATCTACTCGAATAGTTCAAACAAATTCAAAATCGGTCCGATGGTTGCTGAGAGTCGTTGCTGAATTTTGCGCGTCACGCGCAAAATTCAGGAATCGGGCCGATGACTTCCACATTCATCAAGCCACATTCAGCTCCCACATTCAGCGTGTGATTGCGGCATAAGGGAAAACGCTGCTTGAACCTTCAGGCGTTGCCAAATATCCTTTGATAAAACACGAATTCCTTGGTAAAGCTATGAAAGTTTTTCTTCCAATTTTACATATAATTTTGTTCGCAATTTCACCTGAAGTTCCTGAAAATTTCAAGGACAAATATTTATAACTTGCCTCAAAAATAAACATTTTATCGAAGGAAATTTGGCAACTCTCGAATGTTCATGCGGCGTTCTTCCTTAGCACGGCATTATAGGAAATGTCTCAAAATCACGATGAGCGCATCGGCAAAGTCTGAAATGCACTCCTTCCTTCACGATTTGCGTAAGAAATCTGCGTTTCTTCGAGCTTCCCGCCTCGGAGAGGATACCACGGCACAGGTGAAAATTTTGTCAGAGAAGTCATTCCATCCAACCCCTGCTCACAATGATACTACGTAATATTCAACAAAGCCGACGCCAATCCGCCAAAACACATGTGACGGGACGATGATTCTAACCACCTGATAACAATCGGCGTGTTTGCACTCAAAATGTCCTCGCGTTGACAGATATCCACCTTGGTTGACCTCGTGTTCTCCGCAACTTGCGCGCGGAAGCGTCGGCCATGTTGAGCAGGGATTGAATGGAACGACTCCTCTAACGGAATGTTCACCCGGATGATAAGCCATACCGGAATGATTAGCTATTGTCGAAGGTCCATTCCCACTGACCAGAATTTCGGGGGAGGGGGGGGGGCAGATGATATTGTTTTCAATGCTAGGGGGGGCAGGCCTCCCCTGGACCCCCTTTTCGCACGCCCATGCAGAACACGCACTTTTCGTCCACATTTTGTATTTTTGTGAAGTCAAATCATTGTAATTGCTTGTAAAGATCCATCTTCAAAGTTTCACTTCTCAAGTTCACTCAAGTTTTGCAACTTATGAGTTTCTTTTCATGACACTATTTTAATTCTCCATGCCTGTGCTTGCTGTACAGATGTAAAACATATGGGAGGGAGCCTTTCTTCCCTGAGGAAAGGAGGTGTTTAAAAAGTGAATTCGACCCTGGAACGCACGTAAAGAACAATTGCATTATGCATTAAAGCACCCTAAGACACAGGCGACTATAAGGACTTGAATGACTTCACTGGAGACTTTACCGCGGATGAGAAAAGTAAACCGTTCTCAAACGCATTTAAGGGCTTTTAAAGAAGGAAGTTGTTTGAGGATTGACCATGATTGCTCTGCGGCTATTTCCTTAAAACTAAATTTTTGGACTTATACTTTGATTCGACGGCAAACGTGTCAACATAACCCTAAGAGGGCGTTCGGATTCTTATGCGTCTCTGAAGCAGCTCCTAAATGGAGGATTAAGAGGAGTCCATCAAAGTAGCATCATTAAGACGATCATTTTTGCCAATTTTAAGCTAAATTTAGTAAAGCAACTCCGGAAATGAATCTTTACAAGGGATTACAATGATTTGCTACTGCAAAAAGTATACATTTCGGAAGAAAAAAATCTATCATTTCGACAAACTTTAAGGTAGACTCGAACCTACCATATGGACGTATTTCTATCAAACGGAACTATGTGCATTAAGACATGAGCCCTGAGATCCATAAGAATGTATGCATTTCAGGGCTCACGTCATAATGCACATAGTTCCGTTTGATAAAAATACGACCATATGACTTACGAAACTCGTGGTGTATTTTCTTTCGTATTTTGTAGTTTTTGTAGTGGCAAATTATTGTAATCCCTAGTCAAAATCTATTTTTAAAGTCAAACTGATGCGAATGGACCACTAGACAAGGTACAAATTTAAGCAATCTGATACATGTTTCTTAACCAGAATTTCACGTAGAACACGATTAGCGCAATGGATATTACTGAAACTAACTCCTAACGAAGATATCAACGTTTTTATTTCACATTGGGTACGAGGAATTTGAACTGCCCGCTCACAAGAAACTCAAAACTCTACGTGAGTCAAATCGCGCACTACAACGGTTTCAGCAAGCTTCTCAATTGAGCAATGTTCATTTCCCACCACGTGTTGTTCAAATTATGAGCAATTTGCTATAGCTGAGCCAAAGCGTCAAAATTGAGGTTGCCACATTTTTAAATCGCAGATACTGTCATGATAACGTTTAGCGCGCGATGTGAATCACGTAGAGTATTGAGTTTTCATGAGCGGGTGGTTTGAATTTACGCATCAGGAATCATTAAGTATCTTCGTAAGGAGTTGATTTCAGTATTTTTCGTTGTGCGCATCGTGTTTTACGTGAAATTTTGGTTAAGAAACATGCATCAGAATGCTGAAATTCGTACCTTGTCAATTGCTCTATTTTGCCTGAGTTTTTTGTAAAAAGTGTTCTATAGTTATGCTGGTTTACAGTTTTGACGTAGGTTAATTTAGGATTTTCTGCAGGCGGAAAATTTAAAAACTCTGCGTCCAGTATGAACTAAAAATATTAATTTCTCCCATTCTCGTTGATGTTGAAAGTCTTGGAAAAATGTCCATATCTTGCATGTAGGTTTTATAGAGGACAGTTGTCGTAGTCTTGTAGCGTTGAAAACCTCATTATAGACTGTTCAGGCAAAGCTATGCGTGGCTTTTAAAATTTGCCAGATGTTACATGCGTAAAAAAAATTGTAGAACGTGTGAAGTCCGGCGATGGAATATGCCTGACGCAAAAAAGTGAAGATCAGAAAAAATCATTTGACGTCATTCTGTTAACGGTTTCATATTTCTGTACCGAGAAATGTCAATTTTCAGTTCAAAAAATTCACGTAGTAATTATTTCACTCAGAAGACGTGTTGCAAATTGTATACAAAGTTTCCAGGATTTTTTATTTTTTTCAGGATTATTCAAAGAGCCTTGCACAAAAAGGGCTAAAATTCCTAGCGAACTGCGAGGTGAATATCCTCGACACAGGTTTTTGGTGAAAATACTCTGCTACAAGTTCCTATGAAGCAGCGAGCTAAAAAGGAAATTAAAACCAAGAGATAATGTGCAAAAAAACAAGGGGGAAAACACTGAATGAAGTCCAACGTCAGAGAGGATAAGTGCAGATGTACAATGACTTCGCTGTCAGATTTTCAAAAAAAAAAACAAAATATAAACACATCAAAAATTGTTGAGAACTAATTGAACTGATGAAATATTGTCGAAAATTCAAAGAAAGAGCCATGCACAAATTCGCCCGTTTTTGGGCCCTCGAAATTGGGGTCGGTGTGAGGTTTTTTTTCATCTATAGGGTGACCCTTTACACATAATAAAATTTCAGATTGAGTATACGCACCGTTTTTGAGATATGGGGGGGCAAAGTCCCCGATTTTTACTCATATTTGCAGGTATTTTATAGTCGAACTTCGGCTGCTACAAGGTACCGGATGTAGATATTGAAGCGCGGTTTGCGGTGATTTGTCAAGCTATTTCTGGATTATTTTTTCACATATTTTACAAACCCGCAAATGGTTTTTCGGGGGGGGGGGGGAGCTTTATTCATGTTATCATGACCGTTCGTATACGTCTTACTGGCATTAATTGCTTCGTTCTCGACTCCTCTCCACGCCGTAATCATGATGGTATTTTCTGTTAGGAATCTTTCTTCTTCTTTATATTTGACCAATTCTAATGTTGTCTCCCCCTTT